TCTTGTGAGTGAATGATTTATTACATACATCACACAAATATGGACGTTCACCACTATGTATGTGCTGATGTATTTTCAGAGTTTTAGGAGCTCTAAATGATTTATTACACACATCACAGGTATATGGCCGCTCACCACTGTTTATGACTTGATGTACTTTGAGATTATTCTTGTGAGTGAATGATTTATTACATACATCACACAAATATGGACGTTCACCACTATGTATGTGCTGATGTATTTTCAGAGTTTTAGGAGCTCTAAATGATTTATTACACACATCACAGGTATATGGCCGCTCACCACTGTTTATGACTTGATGTACTTTGAGATTATTCTTGTGAGTGAATGATTTATTACATACATCACATGTATATGGCCGCTCACCACTGTGTATGACTTGATGTACTTTGAGACAACTCTTCTGGGTGAATAATTTATTACATACATCACACAAATATGGACGTTCACCACTATGTATGTGCTGATGTATTTTCAGAGTTTTAGGAGCTCTAAATGATTTATTACACACATCACAGGTATATGGCCGCTCACAACTGTGTATGACTTGATGTACTTTGAGATTACCCTTCTGGGTGAATGATTTATTACATACATCACACAAATATGGACGTTCACCACTATGTATGCGCTGATGTATTTTCAGACTTCTAGGAGCTATAAATGATTTATTACACACATCACACAAATATGGCCAATCACCACTATGTATGCGTTGATGTGTCTTTAGAACACTTGGCGAACAGAATGTTTTACTGCATACATCACAGGAACTGGGTTGTCCCCCACCATCCTTAAGTTCATGTTCATTCTGAGGACTCTGCGGAAGACCAGAGAAAAGAATTATGATAAACTTAACGTAACGAAGGAGAATGAGTTTGAAAGCAACATGATAGGTTTTTCTACCAAATCCCATTCCCTGACCCAAATTTAGCGGAAGGTGTTCAAGAATGTGAAGTCCACATAGCAATTTACAGTTAATTCATTGAGGTATGTGACATAACCTGGATCAACTGACCTTAATCTTCAGCCCTGCATGTAACATCATACTCAAACAATAAATCCCAAGTCACTCAGTTATCTTGGTTCTTACTCTGTACCAGGTTGAATCTGAATTCCATCGTAAACACATTTTTTTACAGACTGGGATAGCTACATGTAAATTTGTTAGTTCAATCACGTGATGGCTACTTATAGCAAGAAATTAAATATTTTGGATCCCTTGAATTCAACCCACGGTCTTCAATCGCATTATGTGCTCTAACTTTGAATGGTAGGTCACTGTATTAAAAGGTACGCACCCAAACTTTGCAAATATATTACTCTAGATGCAGTGGGATAGGAAGATGTCAATTTGCTAGTTCATTCAGTTCCTTGAAACTTGTAATAGAAAGTTGGGTTTCTTGTCAGGCCTGAGCTGTGATACATATCAAGTGGACTCCTGAATGACAGCATGGTACTTACGACTGTACCCAGATTCTAATCCTAAATCACAACATACATACTCAAGTTCTTTGTATCCAGCCAGACTTGTTATTAGAGAACCTATAGCAAAATAATTGGCCTTTCTCAAACACGCAAGAAAACATTAAATATCATAGTCAAAGTATCAAGAAGTGGGGATATATGCAGTCATGATTTCTTAATGCGAATATAAATTAACATTTAACAGATACTACAGTAAGTAATACTGAACACACTGCAGCCTTCATCATAAAACATTGCCAGTCTACGTGCATCAACATTTGTCACTGCTTCAGACTACCATCAACTCAGATTTTTCCCCATGTTCTCCATCGCTTCCTAACAACATCCCTTGTATCTTGCTTAATAGAAGGGATAGACAAATGAAAGGATTCTGTGGCCACAACATCTGATAGAAATATTTTCCAGATTACTCAGTATTTAATATCATGGGTGTTAATACTGACTGGAAGTGACACTCTTCATACAGTGAAGAGAATATAATCCAC